CACCCACGGGATAAATAGGAGTGATGACACTACGTATTCTTAATCTGTCACCACACGGTCATTATCTTTCCATTATTTAAGAATGTTATGTCATGCTGGAACTGTTAATTAGATTACATTCACGACTGAGACTTTGCATCAAACTCAAAAAATTATTTCTCGTAAAAAGTGAAATAAATCACTATGTCACACGGAGTCACGCTTTGCGGAGGGGATGCTCAGGAGGGGGATACTCACCAGGGACTTCCTTTCTAGGGTATACCTGGTTCCCCGCCTATTAGTACCCGAGACGGCGTGCGGTTTTACTCGGTTCGAGTCCGACATGCCACCGGTGGTATCCGAGGGGATTTCCGCACGGAAAAAAAAAGAGGAGGGGGATACTACACATGTCACACTGCGACAGTGGCCCTTGCCATTAAGTTCCTTAACTTAGTGGCCAATAGTTGGACACCATTTGATTATAATCGATTTATTCATCAACGATTTAAAGCTTAGACCTGTTGCAGAGAGAAGCTTATAGTTTCACTTTTTTTACAACGTGTCGCAGGGGGACTTTACAAATATACATTAAACGGACACAAAGAACACCCAGACTCAGAACAACAATTTGTGAATCACACAAAGTGTTGTCCCATGTGAGGATCGGACATGGACATAGGAAGCGACGAGGTGACCGCTTAAACCACTACGCCATCCGTGCAGTCAACATTCACTTTGTAATTGTAACTCTCACCAGGGCCAACTTTGCTCTTGATGTTTTCTTATTGACTGTAACGGTATTAAATGATGATGACAGACATTTTAGAGAATGTACAGTTTTAACGACTGAATCAAATACATCATACTGTTATATTTCGTTTGATTTTCACAGGACAGAGCATTGTTGTCGGGTAGTTAACGTCCAACAGCATATATATGTGCTCTAAAATCGGCAAATATTCTGGTCATCTGGCTATAATTAATAATAATAGTATCATCATTCTTTGAATCTATTTTCTTTTTTAAGAGCAATGATCCTCTTAATGAACACGTCATTATATGTCCCTGTGTCCATATATATATATATATATATATATATTTTGTTTCTTCATGTTTAAGTTTAAGAAGCCATTTCAGAATTTTTTTTACATTCATTTTTATTGTCCAGGTATATGTTATGTAAATCATAAATGTTTTTTTTTATTGATGAATATTATATTTTAATATATATTATCCTATTCCGGACTAAGACAAATCCAAAAACATAAAAATTGGTCCGGCCGTTCTTTTATTTTTAATTTTCCATTTTTCTGTTTTTTTATTTTATGTTTAATTTTCCATATTTCTGGTTAAATATGATGAAAAATGATATCACAACGAGTAGACAGAACATTTTACGCAAACAATATAATAAATACCAAAAAAACTGTAATTTAATCATACAGCAGAAGCGCACGGGGCCTCCCCTCCGGCCGCCATTTTGTGTTAGTGTGCGTAGACTGTTTGCACGGAATACACATGTAGTTTTTACTCTTGTGCGATACCTACGGGGAATGAACTTAACCTTTAACAGCTAATCGCATAAAAAGTTTAATTTTCCGGCAGAAAATTCCTATGATTTTCGACTCAGAATGATGGTCTGAATACACTATTTCAGTAGGTATTCGTTACGACGTCCCTTACACTGTGTATATAGATATAAGACCAACGAGTCTGTTATCGTTGAACAACAACATCTCCAATGCATTGATACATTTTAGCGAATCTTGTGGCTGTAACTACAAAACGAAAATACACTGATAGACTGACTTTTCTTTATGATCATACTTGTTTTAATTAATAATACGAGAATTGCTCACAGGCTCAGTTTTTTTAAATTACTTCAGACTGTTTTTGTTTGCCTATTATAAATAGTTTCCTTCAAATTTGTAATGTAATCTGCCATATGAATTGTTTGTATGAGTGTCGCAAAGTAACCTGCCAATATTTCCATTCTTACAATGGGTTGCCCCACTACGTGATTAGAACCTTCATTGTTACAATGACCGTGTGTTCCACTTCTCTGAATATTGTTCACGTGTATCTTTTCTCATGACGGATGCTGTTCAAAACTCCTATGTAGTCGATCACCAGACTCATGATTTATTTAAACACTAATAGTAATATGCATTGCTGATTTTTCAGGCTTGACCTTACTGGCGATTAAATCCTGCTTTTTACGTTTTTTTTTTCGAGTTCCATCTCTTTTATAGCAGACTTGGCAGTTTATATTTATATACTAGTTTATATATATAACTCTATCGTTAATCACGTCATTTAGACCGCGCCTCTAATTTTGGTCTAATATTACCAAATCAAATCGTTTCCGACTAATGTATAATAAAAAGCAATTTCGTAGTGAAATAGTAAAGTATTACTAAGACTAGCAGATTACCTATTCAATTATCGGTTGCAATACGATATAATCACATTACAATAAAGGTTGGATGTTTAATACTTTACTACGAAAATATCTTCAATGACAGTTGTGAGATCGAAAGTTGATCGGAACTGAATTGTTACCTTACTTTTATTACGAGAATTGGCCTTCTGAAGTTAACATTTTTTTATTTTTTTTACACATTCCAAAACACCTACAAACACACGTCCTGTTTGTTTTAATAATAATCGATCACTTTATTTATTTTACATATTATCTAATTGTATGCACGTGTTTATAACATTTTTACTGCATTATCGCATAGTGTATTACTCATGTCTGAGATAAATAGTAAATTATATAATAGTTTATTTTAGAACTTGCAGTGGATCTGCTAGAGATTCTTCCTGCGTTTGTCTTTAGAGTTATTTATGCACCTATATACGACTGATCCTCTTGTCAAAGTGTAGCTATATGTGAATTAACACTTCATTCAAGTACGCCCCAATCAAACATTCGTTAATAAAGGACAATGGCAGGCCTGTATGGGACTTTTGTACCGCCTTGCGTATGTCGTGGTAGGGATTATTGTTCTATTTATTTGTCTGGTAATAGCGTCAACAATTACAGTTTTAATCATCAGAATTTTAGAACTTTGCGTTCAAAAGTTATTTCAGTTTGTAGTTTGCAAGCTATACTGAAGTCGATACCAATAACAGCTGTCTATCATAAATGAGTTGTCATAGCTGTCAACATGTTACCCTTGGTATCTTACAAAATCAATCGTTTTCGATTTTCTGGATCCGCGAATAAAATGTTGCCCTGTCAAATCAGTTTAATTACTTTTTTACATAATGCTTACGATTAATCTAATCGATTTAAATAAAGGTTATTAGTACCTTCCCTTTAATTTAATGAATTTAAAATAATTATTGCTTTATTACTTGGTCTAATCTGTACAGTCAACATTATTAAAAAAGAAATGTTTATTTTTAACTGATCAATAATATGATAATTACATGAAAATTGTTAGAACGACTCACTTTATAAAAGGTACAAATCTCACAACCATCCATTATATATTACTAGGGGTACAGGATCTGCTGTTCTCTTTTGTAAATTGCACGAGTATTTAGTTGGTGCCTCCAGGAAGAGTATAGGTATTTAAACATTTTGAAGTAAATTTTTATCAAATTTACAACCTAGATCGTGAGTAATCAAACAAATTAAACCTACTCCTAAGAAAAGCATTTTCCTGATATACCAATACTATCAATCATTCTAAGAAGTATTATGTTCTCCAATAGCAATTTAGCTAGCCAACCGTTATATGTACAGGTACTTGAACTTTTTATTTAGCAATAACATAAATAGATCACGATGTTAGTCATCGCGAGTCATTCATAAAATTATCGTCACTTAGACAATCAAGACATCTGCACGCCGTTATCACATGTGATACATCACTGTCGCTATAAACATGTACACGTTTGTTATTGTGAACTTGAAATTGTAACCTTGACCTTATTATACATATTACAACGTCGAAGGCCTTATTGAATTTAGTTTTCGACGCGGATTTTGTTTAAGACGATTTTTGATGACAGAAGTTGTTGTACCTCTTTCACTGATTTCATTCAATTTATCTAATCGCGTCATATCACTATCCGCGCCATAATCGATATTTGTTATGAATTGATATGATATCCGATATTTTTGTAGCAAAACTATATATCGAATCGTAGTCGATCGTTTAATATAGCCAAATTATCGATTAAATGTCGACATCACAAAGCGCTGTATCTCTGCACCGTATTTAGTATCTTTAGAATGGCATGCTCTAAATGCCGTGATAGTTGGGAGTCTCTCAAATAGAGAAAGTGAGTTCCATGGATAAATCGATATATAATCGGTCACAATGTTTTAAGATTTGTTTTAAGGCCAATAGAGAATATAACAACAAACACACGTAGTAAACACGTAATAAATGTTTTTTTATTAATTAGGAGAAAAAAAAACGCTGTTTTTGAAACAATATTTAGGATAAGTTTAAGTGAAATGAAGTAAAATGAGGTGTATTTAAACAAAGTAGAAAAACTTTGGATGATGAAGAAATATATAGTGGCCATTCGACATATGCAGTACATGTCGAATAGCCACCAAACACGAATGGAAATCGAATCTAGAGAATCTTGACTTAGCAGCCTTAAAAAAATAAGATGGAAAGAGTTTAGATCATCGCAACATACGCTATCTGCGTTTGAGCAAGCTAATATGGCAATGTTTGGACAAATTTTTAGTTTGCTTTTTATCATAAATACTGTTTTATGCATGTAACTGCATAAATGGTAATGGAGAATTATTTGAAATTGTGTACAATATACTTTTGTTTTGTGTCAGAAAATTTACTGTGTCTCTTTTACTAGAGCCATCGAGCGATAAACTTAAATACGAAACTTTATATTTAAATACAAAATATGATGTAAATTGCCAAGCCTGCATTTGAAACATACAAATCAAATTTGATAAAGAACAAATCTCTGACAGTGTACCAGTTCTATCATATTAATTCACGACTAATAATGTTTATTCTTCATTACAGAGAAGTACGAGTTAGTAGGAAGATTATTGAAGCCCGGAGAAGAACCCAGAAATTATTCAGACGAAGAACCAGAAGAAACAGACACCTCAACGAATACACCCGTAGAAGAGAAGAAAGAGCAGTAGAACTAGCGATGTATATACCAATTCGAAATGCTTCTGATTGTTTGATAATTCATCACCAACTATTCAAGGTCAAATTACAAATCTAATTTAGTAAATTGTTATTATATGCCATTCGCGTTAAGAAAATAGTGACGAATGGATCAAATACCGCCATTGACTAATCAGGTTCCCAGAAATTATCGTTTTGTACGAAACTTGATCTATATCACTATTTTCTGACGCAAATGGTTTATAGTCTTATTTTATATACACTTGTTAACACCAAAGGTATCATTCTCGCGTTGCCGTCCTATGAAGAGAGTCTACCAAATGGACCGCATGGAATGATTTAAAAAGAAATAAGATGGGTCTCTAGTTCGTGATCTGTTCGACTGATTAGTATTAGTCTGATTAGCATAGGATACAGTGAAGAAATGGCTAAAAACTAGTCCCTATACATCCCTTGCCTTTCTCTGGTGCCATTGTTCACAAATAATCCTGATTATTTTAAAAAACGACATGTAAGTAACAAAGTAATAAATATATTTTAAAAAGAATTCATTTATTTCAATATTTTTTGTTGATGTTTTATTTTTTATTATCATTGTTTAAAGTACATTCTTGCATTTTATGAAATAAACTGTTATCATTGCAATAATAAAAAACTTGATATGACAATACTGGTTGGTGATTATGATCAAACAATCGGCATTCCCAGGTCACTGAAGTTATACATTATTTTAATAAAGTTGTTTACGTAATGTGCAAAATAAATCCATTTCATCTCTACGAAATATAATTAACAGACCTCTAACTATATAAATTCTTGTGATATATTTGTACAATATAATTATAAATCATATATATATGTAAATTGTTAATGTCAAAGATATATGCAATGTTTAATAACTCCAGTGACCCACACACATAAGCCTTTGAGAGTGAGTCGGTGATTATACTGTATATATGAAATCTATTGTATCATTTTCACTTTTAACTGTTGCTTATTGCAGATTTTTAAATATATTATATATTTACAGTTCACGAATTGAAAGACTGAGTGATGGCATATTAATTTAAAAGAATGATGAAAATTTTAATCATTTTAGCACATTCCCAGCATTATTTGGACAGAAAATCGTTCTTTTATTTTGTGCGAAGAGATGTTGTTGAACTTCACATTCGCAGTTCTGTCAGTGTTTAAATTATTGGAGTTACCTCGATAGGTCACGTGCCATAGGGCTTGAAAACGTTACTTATTCATTCATTCATTGAAAGTACCGTTAATTAACGGTAATTTCTTTAGATATAACGTTACCTATTTCAAGGTAAGTACTGTTCCAACATATTTTTATCTCTGCCGAAATTAATCCAAATAAAGATGGTTGGTCTCCAATTAAAACTTTGATTCCTGTTTCGCCCACTTCTATATTAATTATCGCTACAAAAAAATTCCTGTCCTTCTCTAACTTCTTGTTTATTAAAATTCATAAATTTAGACAAAGTTGCTTACTGCAGTTTTAATAATTGGTACAGACAAGTATATGTGCCATTCTTTCTGAGAGTACTTTTTTATAACTTCAAAACTGCCGATAGTAACGTTAAAAATATTTAATGGTAAAATGTTCTAAAATACCGGTATAACTTTAACGATATTTACCACATTTGAACGATATTTCAAGCCCTGATGTGCGATGTGACATGTTGAAAAATTATTGTTACAACAATACGGTCCTCGTGAGTTATACGATAATGTAACATTAGTATTGCGATTGACATATTATATATTATAGTCCATCAACGTCGTGCGCGACCGTCCTGCGGGGTGACAGACGGTGGCGGGGACGAGGTACTCTAGATGTCAGCGGGTAGCGGGTGGTGTAGCGGGGAAGGGAAACGCTTCTCTTCGTGTGTAGCCGTGTGCGGGAATGACGCGCTACCTCGCCCCCGCCACTGTCTGTCACCCTGCGGGACGGTCGCGCACGAGATTGCCGGGTTAGAGGCAACAAGTTATATAAACTTAATATTGTCACATTATATACAATAGTTTTATATACATACGCGAACTAACTCGATCAGGTGATAGGTATTAGAAACCTTTGAAATGTCTGACGGGACAGGCGCAGTGTTACCTTAAATACAGGCTGAGTCAGTCTTTGACCAGGACCAGTCAGTAGCCGAACTGTCAGGCAATCGAAAGGTAATGTAGTACCTGTTACTTGATGACGTTAATTCTCGTATGTATTCATAATAGTAGGGGAGCACTAGAAGGGATTTCTGGATTTACTCGAGCGTGCCATAGGAGGAGTACCTTACACCCAGTTGAGTACCTCCACCAAACATGAGCCCTACATATAGGGGATCACACTCATGACCTTGACATTTTATTTTAAAGCTAATAAAGGGAGAAATCTTGTTTAAATGTCTACATAATTTTTCGTGCCTTTATTTGTCACATTTAATAAAAAATCAAAATATTTCAAACCGTCAGATTTAAAATACCCTGATAAATTATCGTCAGATTTTTGGCTACCAGCTTGTGTCACTTTAAAATCGTCAGACCTTTCAATGGGAGCATTTTTGACGTCCAAATAACATATCCGTAAAATATCTGATGCGTCCGAATATTTTTTTTCGATGTGCTCCCTTTACATTTTTTAAAACCTGTACAAGCTTTTCCCACCGCTGAAAGTGGCAACATTATATGACTTTTATTCATTTTATTCTAATCTTTTAAACGCAAAAGGTCCCCATGAGTAAATCCCTATTTATCATCATGGGCTTCCCTACTATGAGGTAACAATATTAATTCATCAATGCCGAGACTAGAGGTGCGCTCTTTGTTGTTAGACTCGTTCCTTCTTATCTTGTATATAAGGGTTGCATTGCCATGCTAAAATGTTCACATAACGTTTTTAAACTAAATAATTGGAATGGACTTTTACTTAAATTTAAAAAATATAATGTACCAATAATTTTTTTTATCTGTATATATTTCTATAGCTTACGTACCTAATAGAAAGTGTTAACTAATACATGTATATGTTTCGTTTTAACATGTTAACGAATCTAGTACCTGATTAGATCGAAAGTAATCGTTATATTTTTTCAAAATTTTCAAACATCAAATCATCCACAAACTAAAGAGGATTTCTATTTGTACACCGCATATATATGTATAAAAAATATTCCGCAATGTATTCGATTTATCCATTTCGATTCGCTTATTCGATCAGTAAGCACCTATCTTCAGTCATGTCTTGCAACAAGTTTATATGTAATTTCATTATATTGTTCTTCTTTTTTTTTTTTTTTTTTTTTTGGGACTAATCCCACCCACACGCCCACCACTGTAACTCCTGTACACCAGGATCCACAGCAGTGACCCACGAACACACCGAGTTATGACACTCGGGAAGTCCCAGGAAGAAATTAAACTGTCTTGGAACCCGCAACGAAATTAATCAGAAGAAAATTGGAGGAGTTGGAAATACAGTAAATCCACTTCCCTCCTTAGCAAAGCGGGAGACAAAATGAAGTGAAATAGGCATACACCCTTTTAAACAGGGAAGCACCACGGCCACAAAATATTACGGGTCCTACATGAGCTATATTTGATTTCTATAATATGTATGGCAGAATCGCCTAAACGCACGGAAATTCACCCTAGTTGACACAAGATCCCCATAGTATACCGCCCCAGATGTCACCTGCAAGCTATTCAGCATTATATTACGTTCATTATACCAAAGACTACATTCCCAGAGGATATGATGAGCAGACTGTTCATAATGAGAGTTAGGTGTTGAGCATTGACACAATGGTGACTCGACTAATTTAAATGAATACAACTGTATTGTTCTTCTCTGGAAATAATAGTGACGTCGATCGAATGTAGTTTATACTTTTTAATTTTAGCTTCGCTTTCTGTGGCTATTCTACTAACTGGACCCCACCTGATATTTGGTACTTATTAATGACATATTGCGTATATATTGTGTGTTGCAAAAGAAAAAGAAACAAAAAAGGAAATGTGCATAATATGTGTAACTTAGAATCTAAATTAAAGAATATTGATATGTGGTGAAGTACCGTGTGTGTTTGTACACTTTGATACCTAGCATCAAGCGTTGCCATAGTTTTGGCAAAGTTTATTACTTACTAAAAAACTGTCGCAATTTTCACCTCGGCATTCTCTGTTACTAAAGTACAAATATGGTTTGCCTTAAATATCTATTTCGTTGTAATCATATTTGTTTGTTGTTTGTTAGTGTTAAGTTCATCTGGTTATTATTTATGGAATGGTATTATAACTTTTTTTTATATTCATTTCAAAACGCTCTGTAACATTTATTATTCCTTAAATGTATACAACTGACGGCCAATAGTTGTGTTATCGAAGATCATGCTTCTTTAGTCATTGTTGGACGCCAAAATGCGTGCCAAAATATCGTCGGATTTTAAAAGAATATTATGGTTTTTGCTTTACCAAAGGTTTCCTAACAAAAGCTATTGCTATGCCAAAGCTATATAATATTAACAATGGTTATTATATTTTATAGTTATGAAGCACGCACGCTTCCTTATTAAAAACTAAAAATAATAATTAATATCACGCAATACTAGTGATATAAAATAGTTTTGATAATAAAAACAATGGCCAAAATGTTCCAAAGTGTTTTGAAATGACGTTCGTTAAAACGGAGTAGTGTAAACATTTGCTACTTAAATTTGAACAAGTTTTTGTTCTTTAGCCTCGACTGTTTGAGCTTTACTGAGCTGGTACGACTATGAGTGTACTAACAGTTATTATGCACAGATATGAGACTGCTTATAAATCTTTTACAGTAGTGGGCGCTTGTAACTACTAAATATTTGTTTACAATTAAAAAGTTGATTTACGAATGCAGTTATTACTTTTATACGCTAATAAAGTCTCGTCAGCCTCACTGATGTTGTACTAAACCCAAATTGTAAACCTTATGATAACATTACTAATACTAATACATATAAAAAGGTAAATTGTCGTAGATAAAGAGGGCAGGGCAAAGCTTACACGTCTAACCTAACTTTTTAGCGAGTTACAAGCGCGATTTTGTTATTATAATAATGTTGATAATTGTTCACTTATTTTATAAAGACTGATGTTATGTTTGCTTGTAATCTATACTTAGAAGCGTTTTGTTGAATTTTACGCGTTTACTTGTTATATAAACAGTCTCATCATCAGCAAATAACTGTAGTCAGGCCTAATTCGGGTCCTACACGACACTACATCTCTCGCAGTATTTCTTATAATGACCAAGATTGAGTTCACCGGAGATGAGTTTAATTATATAGTAGTAATGAAGTACATAAATAATTTAAATAACAGATCCAGGTTCGGCGAACCTGAATATTATTTTTTAATATCGATACCATACTACCACTTTTTAATGGCATATGCCTAAACAGTATATCTGCACTACGCCTGCTTAGAATAGTCATTTGCATATACCTGTTACTAGAGCGTGTCGTCTTCCATCACCGCAAGCAAAAGTATAAATATAACAAATGTGTTTGGAACCTACTTAGAATTTGCAAAAGCCGTCGTTTTAAAATTGGTGGCAAGTCGTTATCAACGGCAAGATTTGTTTTCGATGGTTTTATAAAATCTTTGTGTCGTTGGGATGTATGAGTTTTCAGTGTTTTAGAATAAACTATGTATGTATATGGATGTGATGTATAGCACTGCAAGATGTTACTAATTACTAAAAGATACCTAAAATGTTTATTTTAACATTGTCACATGAATTGAATTAAAGCGTTTTACATAAATTGATGATTTTATTTCGCACCAGCGGCCCTCCCCTTTTTTTTCCGTGCCGAAATCCCCTCGGATACCACCTGTCGGTGGCATGTCGGACTCGAACCGACTAAAACCGCACGCCGTCTCGGGTACTAATAGCCGGGGAACCAGGTATACCATAAAAAGGAAGTCCCTGGTCACCAGCAGCCCTCCCCTGCTCCTGCTTCGTACATCGACATTAACATTGTACAGGCTGCTACATTTTTTCTGATACGTTCAACGATTATCGACAATCAATTCACATAAAACCTTAACAAGTAGATACACCCAAACCTTTCTCATAAATCACTCCGTCTGTTGGTGAAAACCCAAAGAGGTTTTTCCGAGCATGTCTGCTTCGGGAAGTACCTGCACTCGGTCGCTAGGAGGGAATCGACTGCAATTGCAGTGAGGACTCAGCTCAGCATATATTGGCAATTTGCCCGGCTTGGGCGCCGCAGCGTCGGGTTTTCATAGCAGTCATTGGAGGGGATCTCTCGCTACCGGCCGTCATACGTTGCATGGCCGATAGTAACAGATGTCGGCGTAGGCGCGTTTACAGGCACTGCCACCCTTAACGGCATAGTCATTCTTTTTAGTTCCGCTGTTAAGAACCTAGGCCTAATTTTCGACTCCAAGCTCAGTTGGTAAACCTCGGTCACGAGCGTCAGCCAGAGTCACAGTTACGATACGGACCTTTTATCGGCTTAAGAATTTGCTCCGCTCCGAGACGATAGCGATGCTTATACAGACCCTTGTGGCGACTCCCACATACAAATAAACATGAACATACTACAGCGCCATCTAACGAAGACACACCGAACTACGAAGTAACTACTAAATAAGAATCGCTAATCCTGTATCGTGATATGAAAAATTCTCTCGCCGATTAGCATATATACAAGCATCAACAGCCCAACATCAACCTTTGGGCCGCGGCCCGCCAGGCATGATCACCTCGCTCGATCCACAAATTGTTGTTCTGATTCTGGGTGGTTGTAAAGTCCCCCGCGACACAGGATATATTCCTAATGCCGTTTCTTTTATTTTTAAGATAAAAATAAAAGAAATCAAAAGAACTTAGATTAAAACTCGACGTTGTGGCAGCGCTGTACGCAAAGCTATTGCCTTAGAGAATAGCACTGCTAAATGCAGATTTACTCAATAAATACAACCGCCTTCTGAATAACTGCATTCGATTTGTCTTCAACCTTCGCAAATATGACCACCTCCTTTAGTCGCGAATTGAACAGGCTCACTATTCTTCAGTGCCGTCATCTGCGCGCCCTCTATTCTATTCTCAACTGTCCCATTTTCTGACATCCTCATTCCTATATCTGTTTATAAATTATTCTAAGCGTACGTGAATAACCTCTCTAACCATCCACCCATCCAGTTGTCAGATATCCTTGTTCTTATCTATTTCCCAGATGTATACCTACTAGTAGTAACTTATTTAAATTGCGTTCTCTTTAGTATTCATTTATTTTAAAAAGGCAATTCGTATTTTTGACATATAACTATTTTATTGTTACTCTAATATTCAAAATCTATAAGTTAAGAGTAATTTAATTTAGGAATGTCTACTTCGTTAGGTGAGGTTATGTTAGAACAGTGACCATAAACGCGCAAAGGCAGCATCATCACGAGCCTTATTGGTAGATTCGAGCCACGGAGGAACGATGATAAAAAGAATTAGAAATCTTGTTTATACTAGCTGTCTTGTAACTTTATATAGACAGTTTTCCATGCATGTTTAAAATAATATAAAAAAATTCTGACATTGTTCTTCTGTGTGTTATCAGTCTTCGAAATAGGGTGGTGAATTGCCCTTTTATGGCAGCCACTCCGTTGCGTACATTCGAGACAATTTTGGATAAAATAAAAACAACTGTTTATAATGATCACATAATTATATTATAAAATGATTTAATTACAATAAACAGAATAAGTATCATAATGTACCTACACTACAAACAACTTACATTACGCAGAAGCGGACAGGACGTACTCCTCTCATATTTACATTTTGTACATTGAGCGCTCGTTTCGGTCATCGTAATACTTAATTTACGTCCCTCTCGTCGCTAACGACAACTTCTTTTAATAAATAGGGCGGGACAGCGCGAGGGCGGGGCGTCACGAGCTGGGGAAGGGAAGGGTCGGTTCGTCTGCGCCCCGGTCGCCGTTACATTATATATTACAAGGCGACGCGGCGCGCCACGGCTATGTACACTACAACTGCTCCACGAACTTGGTGAGCTGGTCCTGCGGCGTCATGGGCGGCAGCTGGTCGTCCGGCGGCGCGTGCGGCGGCGGCGGCGCGGGCGACTGCCGCAGCAGCAGCAGCTCCGACGGCGTGGGCGGCCGCGGCGACGGCGTGGCGGGCGGCGAGCGCGACACCACGCCGCTCACCGCGCCCACGCCCCCGCCGAACGCGTACCGCGCGCTCACCGCGCCCAGCCGCGCGCCGCCCGCCACTCCGCCCACGCCGCCCACCCCGCCGCCCGCGGCCCCGTACGCGCCGCGCATGGCCATCATGCCCACGCCCCCTACGCCGCCCACTCCGGCGCCCTGCTTGAACCAGCCTCCGCCGGCGCCGTGGCTCATGGCGCCGACGTTGCCCACTCCTCCGCCGCCGACGCCTGATACGTTGCCGACCTGAAAAGAACACTACTATTACAGATCCCTTCTAATTCCCATTCTGGAGACTAAGATTAAGCTACACTTTTGTAACTGATATCAGTGTTAAGTCTGTAACTCTTGTTATTACTAGAAATAATTATCTGTTATAAACTAAAAGATCACAGGCTAACCTATTGAAACCCAGTGACACTCATAATTTAGAAGAAGCTAACTAACACCTGCCAAGCCAAAATCCATCAAGTCACACTCCACTACAGAATAAGTCTAAGCACCAAAGAAACATAAGGTTTTGCATTCGGATTTCTTTATAATTTTAAATTCATATTGTGTATACTAGTAACAAAAAATAATAAGAAAATTATCGGTAAATTACTATTAGTAATGATATTGATTATCAAATAAATTTTAAAAGTTTATTATGACGGATGAGACTGTATTGAAAATTTTCACTGGGTTATACAGTAATTATTAAGACAGCCGGTCATTCATCTAACTTTTTCTATAAATTCTAATACTATCCTAGACTGTATTTTGACCGTAGATTCCTTACAATAGGCTATGCAGACGATCTGACTATCCTCATCAGTGGTCCCTTTGAGAGCGTTATTTACGATCAAATCAGACTCGCACTGCAGATCGTTGAACAGTGGTGTGTGAACTTGACAGTGAACCCATCGAAAACAGAGATGATCATGTTCACAAACAAACGTAATCTAGGAAATTTCAAACTTTCTAAACTATTTCAAACCCAACTGGCTCTTACCAAAGTGGTCAAATACCTAGACAGTAAACTCCTACGGAATAGGCCCCTCGAAGAGAACCTAAACAAAGCCTGCATTGTCTTCTGCCAATGCAAACGGTTACTCAGAAACAGCTTGGGACTATCACCAAAGATTACTATGGCTCTACAGAACAGTCATACGACTAATAATCACGTACGGTGCCGTTGTCTGGTGGCAAAGAACAGAGCTAAGCACCGTCATAAATAGATTGCAGCAATTTCAGCGACTCCCAACTCCCGCACTAGAGGTGGCTCTTGGTCTGCCCCCACTGGACTTGTTCATACAGCAAGAGACAGCCATGGCGATCATTAGACTCAGACACCTGAGTCTGTGGCACAAAGGCGAAGGATCGCACTCCAAATTATGGGATTAATTAGTGGAATACGAACCACTAATAGCAGCCCCATGCGACAGGATCCCAACACACCATATCTTCACAAAGAGAAACCACATTCAGACATAAGAAAATGACCAAATCAATCTGGCACAAACGAAGTCCGAATTTACACGGACGTTTGTATTTTACACGGACATGGACGGTTCCAAGACTGGGACAGAAACTGGAGCCGGAGTTTTCTCACAAGAGCTAAACATGAACATTACTACTACTAATTACTAGCGTTAGGCCAACACATTTCCATATTGTAATGCGAATGTGCAATTACTGACGCCGCCACAACGGCCATGTCAAAGGGTATTAAGGACTATTACATCTGAATACTCTGACAGCATGGCCGTCCTAAAGGCACTGGAGGGCAACACAATGACCTCTGGTATTGCCTTCGATTACCATCAAGCATTAGAGCAGCTTGCCACAACAAATGAGATACTCCTCCAATGGATTAAAGGGCACCGTAATTCACATGGGATTGACGCTGCAGATAAGCTGGCAAGTAGGGGCTCGGCAACCCCGGTCACCGGCCGAACCACAATCCGAAATTCGATCCTTGGTTAGATAGCGTACTAGTGAAGCGCATAACTGAAGGTAGAAGTCTCACCACGACTTACTTGAAGACTGATCAGTAGTAGCAGACTAGATATTCGGATAGTTGTAGCAACCATAACCGACACCTCGCCCTGAACCGACAACTATTTACTAATAAAGCGACGGACAGTGCTCATTGCAGAGGATTCCTGAAAGCAGAAGAAACGGCCGCCCAAGTAATCCTGGGCTGCGAGGTGGCCACACAACGGGCAAGTGCCATACCTAGTACAGAATCGCTCCTAGAAGCCTGTGAACGTCCCAAGAGGCTTCTTCGCTTCTGGAAGGAGCTTGGTTGGCTCACCTAGCCAACCTCTCCTAGACGCATAAAAGACCACTCTCGAGTAGTAAATGCGGAAATCGAAGTCCACAACCAAACAAATACTATCCTAGACTGTTTTACCTTGTTAGATAGCTGTTAAAAAAAAAACTTGTTAACTTTGCTCAAGTTTGTCAAATAAAATTTTGGCAATGGAAATTTTAAAACAATATATCAGCGACACAAAAGCAATAAAAAAAATTTACCAGTCAGCATTTTATTTCAACGTTCATTTAACGAAGGCGAAATACTCCAAAATATAAAAAACGCGATTATTTCAACTATACACAAAAAAAAAGGACCTAAACATTAAATAGAAAACTACAGCATGAGAAACCCTTCTCAGGTCGATGTGATCTATACAGATTATAAGAAAGCCTTTGATCGTAAAGACCATTCGATCCTCTTACGTAAATTGTTAGCAATCGGTATAAGTGGTGATCTGTTTAGGTGGTTTAAGTCGTACATTGAAAATCGTTTCCAAATAGTAGTTCTAAATGGTTGCAGCTTCAGGACAGTATTTATTCCCTTGGGAATACCTCAAGGATCACTCCTTGGCCCACTGCTATTCACTATATTTTTCAATGTTATCCATACATGCTTGACTCACTCAAAAATAATCTTTACACAGATGACATAAAAATCTTGTGTCCAATATCAAATCTTAGTGACTTTTACTACAAGACTTAAATGACGAAATGAGCTCCAGAAATACTGCCGTAACAATAAGCTTCAGCTTAATGTAGCTAAACCCTTCGCTAATAGTTATACCCGCAAGCCAATTACCTTTCAATACAAACTTCAAAACACCATTATAAGTCAGACTAATGTCATCAGAGACCTGGCCGTCACTTTTGATGTCAAGTTACTTTTTGATTCCCAGTCGCAAACATCATAAGTAGAGCCTCAAAGGCCCTTTGAGGCTTTCATCATGAAAAATGTTGATAATAACTTGAACGTTCTGTTATAGCCTATAGCTAGTCAGTTTTGTTTTAATATTTATTATATTTAATTTTGAACGAACAACAAGCTGGTAAATATGTTAACATTGCTACACTAGATAATAGTATACTATATACAAATTCACAGAAATTAAGTTTGTAAAAGAAAATTATTTTTTAAATAATTAGCTGCGTAATACGGACTAATAATGCGGAAACGTAATTGAGAACAGACTGTAAGTTCAAATCAATACTTTAAACTAGTTTTAAGTGAGTAAAACTTAAAACGCGTTCTATAATAAGATCAATACTTAAGTTTTCATCTGCACTTAAAATTTGTTTTAGGCAATCAGAGTTCAACCGATACTTGAGACGTCTTTTATAATATGGGCCCTAGTCTTCTGTATGTTAATTGCGCAAAGCGTACATATAGACAAAATATGAAATAGACATAACAGTGTTTCTAAACTTAAAAACATTTTAGCTAAGAAATATTTTGATTGGCTACAGGTGCTAGTTTTTGTCTTTGTTTACTGACTTCCAATTTGATAAAAATACATGTGTATCGTATTTCTAATAGCGGTTATTTGTAAATTGCCATCAGATGTTCATGAATTATGTTTTATGTTTTTAAGACGCTAGCTGTGAATATCCCAAGCAGAGAAAATATAAAAGTACATCGAAGATCAATAACAAGTTATTTCAAACCAATATTTTAAGGTACTGAAATATTATTATTATGTATTACACTCATCACAGCTTGTATCTTTTTTATATGGAAATCTCAAAATGACTTATGCAAAACCAGTTACATAGTATAATTTGATTAAACTTTAATTATTGTTTGATTTGCCTTTGAAATCGATTATCTGGTTTTCGAATATTATATTCGAATAATTGGGATGCTACATAGAGATGACACGGATATACGGTATTGGGTTGGAGGGGAGGGGGGAGGGGGCTCGACTTGAGCTTCAGGCAACCTCACTCACATGTTAGGCAACGAAAGAATTGCTTAACACCGACTTTATTTGAGTCATTTGTGCTGATGTACGATTCTCGTGGTTAAAGCACTTTTAGCCTTGTGATTACAATATAAATACTAATTAACCCCCGACGCAAAAAGGATTGACGAGGTGTTAAAGGATTGACGTGCCTGTGTCATCGTAAATCCCGAACGGATAATTAGTGGGGAGTGTTCTTAGCTATGTTTGATGAAAATCGGTCCAAGATGGCCGCCGTCACAAAATGGAGGATTACATTTTATTTTTTGTGTCGAGGGTTTCTAATTTATAAATTTTAGTTTCTCTCAATTAAGAGGCACAAGGGATTAGAGGGGGAAAGATCGTAGCTTCCCCCGGGATAGGGCATAGTTTAATGGAAACAGTACATACTCTCAAAAAAACTAATCCACAAAAATTTTGATTGGCAACAACGCTAATGTTTTTAAGGCCAGCGAAACCGGGAGTCTCTAGAGGGTTTACCAAAAGCTTGTGATATTTTAAAGAGGTAATAGCACAGGTGGCGAGCGATTGTCTCTGCCTGCTATGAAGGGAGAAAAGTATGGATTTAAAAATGTGTGGCAAAAATCAATTCCGTATGAAATTGGTCGCAAGACTGATTACTATTATTTTTACTTACAATTTCAATTTAATCAATGGCAGAACGTGTGGAAAATTTCACTCGATTTGATCGAGTTTGATTTTGTCACCTCATATCATTTTAAAAAACGTTTTTTTTTTAAATCGAATGGAATTGTATATGGAGCTTATTAAAAATTTGCTCCATCAATATCGCAGGATATTTTGTCTTAAATTGTAAGTCCAGTAATAAGATAATATGTAATAATGACTCGACAGAGTTTCGCATGTCTCATCTTTCTTTACGGGGTTTGTGTGCAATCTACAATATTTGATATCAGGTATCCAATCAAAAAATAAGAGATGTTTCATCTCTAGTAGTAACGTAAGGAGAATACACACCTGTTGTTGTTGGGGCAGCATCTGGTGCATCTGCTGCAGCCTCTGTTGCTGTTGCGGTTGCATCATGTGTTGCAGCTGCGGCTGTTGTTGGGGCATGCCCACGCCACACACCCCGCTGACGGCACCCATGCCGCCCACGGGGCCCACATTGCCCACCCCAGCGCCGCCTCCCACGCCGCCGCCACCGCCCACGCCTGTGACGCCGCCGACGTTGCCGGCAGCCGCTTGTTGGTTTTGGGCATTCTGTAATAAACACACGGAAACATAACCCAATATTTCAATAATCTATGTTTGGAACACCATTTATATATATATTTATAGCTGTTCTAGAAACAATCATAATCCGATAATTCTAAATATAGTTGATTATATACCAAACACAAATAAAATCATTATCATCGACAGCCTTTATTAGTCCACAGCTGAACATATAGGCATATGAAAAAAAAAAACCTAAAATAAAATGACTTTTAAACAATAAGGGCTATACAAAACATTATTATTCGAAAAGACGCTAACCTGTCTTTGTTTGATGAAGGCGGCCATAAGAGGCGGGTTGGACTTGAGTATGTGGAGTATTTCTTGTTGTTGATTGTGACAGGGCGGCGATCTTAACGTCGCCATTAACTGCTGCAACGCCTTTTGATGTGTCTGAGGTTGCGTCTGCGGTTGCTGAGGCGCCGGCGCCCGTTGCTGTAAATTAATATTTCTCAATAGTATACATTTAATGAATAACGGTGTCAGATTCGAACTGAACTATCATCTAATTAATCGTTCCTTCCACATTTCTTTTCAGCTGCGGTGATATAACAGTGAAGAGTGAGTTGTTCGTTTTCGATTTTACATGTTAACTACGCGCCGTACCGATGCAATATCGTTCGATCGATACGACTATGAAGTATCGGTGGTATAAAATATGGTGTCGAGATCGGCAGTTACCTGCAACTGCTGCGGGTGCGCGTGCGGGTGCGGCGCGTGCTGCGGCGCGTGGTGCTGCGGCAGGCGCGCGTGGTGCTGCGCGTGCGGCGGGTGGTGCAGCGGCGGCGGCGCCCGGTAGCGCGCCGCCCACTCGGCGCGCGCGCCCGCGCTCACGCCCACGCCGCCCACCGCGCCCACGCCCACTCCGCCGACGCCTCCCACGCCCACGCCGCCGCCGGGCGGGCCCATGGCCGCCTGCTTGCCGTACGAGGGCGCCTGCTGTCGCGCCGCCTCCTCCTGCACCTGCACACGCGAGCACGTCAGCGGCGCCGCCCCGGGGAGTCGGGGGGGCGGGGCGGCGCGCGCGGTACCCACCTGCTGCAGCGCTTTCTGCACGTTGTGCGGCAGAGCGTGCTGCGCCGGCTTGGAGGGGGGCGGCGAGGCCAGCGACGCGGCCGGAGGCGGCGAGCTGGCGCCTGCGCCCATCGCCCGCGTGTTCATGGCCGCCATACGCCGCCTCAGCAATTTCGCTTGCTGAACTCGTTGTTGGACCTGAACGCATAACGCTCGATGAAAATCATTGCTTTTTAAAACTAAGCTCGAAAGATACAAATAATTAATACTTAAAAAAACTTTACTACTGTAATGATATTAAATTAAAAACGTGAGACTTGTTAATCGAGTAAAAAAACTTTAAAAACCGAATAATAAATCGAACGACGATTCAAAAATAAAATTTTATAAAATATTTATCTTAGTAGTTTGCAATATTAAACGTATCACAACCGATTTATAGAGTATGGCATAAATCGACATACCTGCTGTTGTTTTAACTTCTGTTTGATAGAACTGCAGAAAGGCACCGAACACTTGGTCTCTTGACAATGTTTGGCGTGGTAGCAACACAACGCTATTAGTTGTTTGCAAATAGGACAATCGCCTTTTGTCTTCCGCCGACAAATCTTAGTATGTGTCACCACTCGCTTCATCTTCTGACACGACGGCAGGCGACAGTTCGCGTCTCGACACTGGCAGGCGTGCACTAATGACTGAATACATCTTTGGATCGATAGCTTGCGTGCTTCCTGGGGATTGGCTTGCTTCATATCGCCTGGGGATGATCCAACGTCAATGTCGAGGCCAAGTTTCTCCATTTTGTGTGGATGACCTTCTTTCTCGTAGCACTGAATGCACAGATCGAAATCATCGCAAACGGTGCAGTGGTATCTCGTTTCGACATGTGATTTACAACTGTTGCAGGTATAAACGAATTTATCTTGTCCTTGGTTGTGTAATTCGTATAACATGCATAAAGTTGAAAACCTCGCGCGACGAGTTGAAGAAAATTCGTAATGTTTATCTCTTGCCATAGTTAAAAAAGCATCGCGACCATCCATTAGGTCACAGTTGTATAGCGGATCAGGGTCTTGGATTGGCTGTACAAAAAAAAAAACAAATCACTTAGTATTCTAGATCATAAACATAGGTTTATTATAAAAAAAAACACTAATACTTTATTTACAGAATCAAAATATGAAAATTTGACAGATACCCTGGATGTTATTTGACTAAAGAATTTCTTAAACAAAAGTTGTGATGCCTCACTAAAATGCTGTAAGGCGAACCACTATTATAGATTGATAGACAGTAAAAAGAGAAACATCTTAGTCATGACTTGGGGATTGCGATGACCATGGTGAAGGAGAGGTTCCGTTCTATAATACGTACATCTTATGGAATTTTCTGTAGGTACGTAATAATAAGTAAGTATGGTATGCTTCTATCATTAGTTCAATACAGAAGATTCACAACAAATATCGAATTGTTTTATTATATGTGCAAAACAAGGTAACCCAGTAACAAGGTAACTAAGTGGCTAAAGTAAAGAATAATAATATATAGCAACAATGTTGTCAAATTTTCTATACTGAATAAACATATTGCAACTCACCGCTAAGCTAGCAGCAGACTGTGCGGAATGGAGCCGAATGACAAAGAAGACTTCCTTGTGCTTCTCCATAGTCGCGAATATTTTCGCACTAAGATCACTGCCTTGCTGTTGGTCACTTTGCTTCTTACTGTTCTTTCTTTGCGCTGCTTTGGATTTGTTGGACTTCTTTGCTTTCTTCTGACCTTTCTTTTTACCATCAGGACCTTGCTCATTTTCCTCAGACGACTGGAATATCTAAAAACCATGTTAGATATTGTCTCATGCCAAACCAAGCAAAAATATACAGCAGTGAAAAATTAACGCCACAGCAAGTGCAAAACTATTTAATTCAGAAGTAAACTAAGCTACTAATGAATTAGTATTTTTAGAGGATATTACATTTAGTTGGTGCATTTAGTTTTAAGAACTCACGAAAAATAATTGGGAGTCCCAACTCTTATTGGAATTATATTGAATACTAATTGAAAACATTGAAATTAACAAAAAGTCACCACAATTTTTTACACAGTAAGTAATTCTATCACGCATACTCCTATCCAACATACCCCATGTCGGTTAGGAGTGTGCATGTTGATCATTGAACTCCACTTAAAATTGTACTCTACAAGCATTGAAAGGGATTTGAAACAGCGTATAGCGAATCCATACTAATGTCATACTAATGTCGACTTATGAAGGATTAGTTAGGAAAATAATAATATTGATTCCGCAAGAATATAGTTCTCCCAATTAACGTATTAAACCGGCCTATTCAACATTTGTGGTTCACATCTATGGATAAACTTGGACTGTGACGAAACATGCTATAGCGCCTATCATACATGCCACACGTCATATACTAGATACTGACCACTGCCTCGGCGGCTTCAGCTTGTTTTCTCTTCTCTTCCTCTTCCTGATCCAACTCTTTGATAGACTCTTCAAGGACGTTGGGCCAGAAATCGCCTTCAAAGTAAGGTAGTTCCGCCGCTGACGAGATGTTGTCCTCCATAGCTTGTTTTAAAATATCTTTATAATCTAAAATTATTCTTTCTATAATTCCTTTATCTAGCATTTTCTTATACCACTCTTGTAACCTTTTAGGTTTAGGTATTTTTTGTTCAGGTGGATGGCAGTGAAAAATGTAGTCATCGCCTTCTGAAGGCGGACAGGCCCAGATATGGGCCATGGTGTAGCCCAGCTGCTTGGCGTAATCTAAATATCCTAATAAAATCTCGTGATAGACTGCGGTTCTGTATTGCCGCGGTTGGAAGAAATGTACAGAGTCTAGATATGCTATATATACACGCCTCGTGTTCGGTGACGGGCTTTCACTGCCGTATTCCTGAAAAACACGATTTTATTACAAGCTGTTCGATGTTTTTACTAGACTATTATATATTTATTCTAATTTAACACTTCCGACTTGAAATGGATAAGACATATCTTCAACGAAAGGCAAACGAAATTTTGTTTGTTTATATCGCTTTTAGGTACTCTAAAGATTTAGTCTTCTAAAGAATTAGAATTAATGATTTGCTAAGGAAAATAAAGCATTTTTAAATTAAGTAAACCATTTATTTTTTGTATATAAATATGATATAACTACTGATCTCAACTGCATAAATATGCAAGCAAGCGCAGCAGATATAGATACCTAGTAAACAGTGAAGAGATGAAATGCAATATGAATATTATAGCATAAAGAATATATTAAGAAATATATAAGTATGTTTATCACCAGTCTATACCATAAGTGCACAGTGTGAACACTATTTCTAGTCTAGTAACTCTTATAATGACAAAGAAGGATAAGAAGAAAAACATGAGCAAACAGTACAGGGGGAAAACCGTTTTTCTCTACAAAAAATGCATCCATTCAAAATGCTTTTAAATAAATAATGTCAATGTGACTCACCTGCACGTGCATGCCAAAGAAACAAATATCAGTGCCATCAACTTCTTCAAATGCAAATAACGCTTTAGCCCGATACGGGAACTCGCCACAAAGCTCGCCAGAATCTACGAATCTCGATTTCATCCCGGGTTTCACTTCGACCATCTAAAACAATGGAAAATGTTATGAATTTGATTCTTTTTATAAAAAAAAACTTATTTTAGCTTTTTTCCCAAACTAGGTTGGACTTTAAGTCTACTAGGACACTGAAATTTTATTTCTTTACGCTAAGCGACTGCCTTCAGACCTGTCCAACTCAAGTAACTAGGCGATATCGAAGTTCTGTAGGAAGACTTTTGTCGAACTTTTTTAGGACTCGTAACTATCCGTAACGATCGCCACAGATGTTCGCACTGCAACCGGGACCGACGGCTTATCGTGCTCTCCGAGACAGTTGTGAACAGAGCATGTGTTAAGAAATGGTCACCCATCCATAAACTGACATGGCTAGAATTGCTTTAAAACGCTACCATAAAAATTTGGAAGTAAAGCTTAACCCTGTAAGGCACAATGTTCATTGTATTATTAATGGTAATTAGTAGATAATTAGTTCGTCCCACATTTTTTCATCCATATTATTATCGGTTTACTAGATTACTTATATGGCTTGATGAAAAAATACTCCTGATTAATTGTTTCTAAACAACTCATAGTATTAAAATGGTGTTAGGTACAGCCACATGAAGTCCATAAGTATTTATAGGCTGTTCTTATCGCTTTTATTATTACAATAGACACGACTCGTAAAGATCGTGATATATGAGAAAACTGTCACAACGTCGATAAGTGAGAAAGCGCGGAGCTGTGTGTGCTGTGATAGTTATAAGCTGTTTTAATTATACTTAGATAAATTTTGATTTTCGATTTGAGACCCACAGATGAAATTAATCTAATAATTGTCTTTAAAAAGTATAACTGACTTGAATAACGTAAATCATGTAAATTCCAATTACCCGTATTTTATGCCCATTATTTTAAAACTTTTTTAAATTTAAAATGTTCAACTTTGAGTTATGACTTTTTTAAAACATAACCATATAGCGTAACATGACAAAAATCAGTTCAATTGAGAACTTCTTTCAATTTTGAAATCGACTAACAATCATAAAAGTTTAAGTAACATTTATAATGTCTATTAACATTTTAAAGATGACTAAAAAAACTCACCTTATCGGACGACGCAACCACCCTGATATGCACTTCACCAGCGCCAGCCTCTTTTTTCTTAAGGAAATTATTGACTCTTGTTTCTATATAAATGCCAAGCTTAGAAGTAGGTAATTTCTTAGCAGAGAATTTGTTCTCTTTCCGTTTTCCTCCTTTCTTTTTTAAACAATTATCACAGCAGAAGCCCTGAGGCCATATTTGGTCGTGGTGCAACACGCATATTTGGTGCTGCTTTCTCCCACAGTCCATACAAATGACGAACGGTTCCTGTTCTAAATGGTCGTTCTTCATTTCTTTAAATTGATCTTTCTTGATAGCACTGAAACATTGATGACAGTTAATATTTTTGAATGTTATTTTAAACAAAGTAACTTGCACAAACGTCTTTTCAATGTTTACTGAGTAAAACTATGTTTATGAAAGTAATATTTTTCATAGGTTTAAATAGTCAAATCATAATTGAGATTAAGTTGCTTCGTAATGGACGAAATATATTTTTGACCTTATTAACTGAACATTAAGATTGAAAATTAAATAGTGTATACTCACGTTTGTGGCTGCAGCGGATCGTCGCCGAGCGTGACGGTGTCGCCGGCGATGTCGTTGAAGCATTTCTGGCAGAAGGTGTATCTATCGGAGACAACCCCATACGCTTTTAGACTTTATTCATAACGTCCATGTAGCGGTAGTGATGTGAAGCGTGTACAGGAACGTTTGTATGTGCAGGCAAGGACGTGCGTGGACAGGGCGAAAAAAAATTAGTAAGCAATGAGAACATAAAAGGGGTTAATTAGTTAGACAGTTGCGAGCACACGGTGGGTTAACAGCCCGCGACCTTAGACAGCGGCCCGGCACATTGTACACATCCCATACAAATACCACAGAAAACAACACAACTTGCGGACATTTCTTCATACTAATCTATATTTAAATATAAATACTCTTGTCTATATGTGGTCCTAGCCTACAGTTAGCTCTTAGTTTTTTTGAGAAATTAGCATTAATATGTTGCTTTCTATTGGTAAAGCTAAGACTCCATTATACTAAATTTCTAACACAAGGCATACTCCTGTAGTTAATCTGTTTTGAATGGCTTATGGTTACACGGTGAATCGCACAGTAACGAGCCTGCGTGAGCTTTATGTTACAAATCGGTAAAGTATATTTACTTTCACTATTTCAGTACAGGTTATTGTATAATGCTATGGGATGTGTACAGCACAAATTTTGAAAAGAAACAATATTTTCTTTTCTTGCAGAAAATATTGCTTCACACATAGTCCAATTGTAAAGCGGCAAAGTGTCTTGTATAGACATTAAGAGCAGCGTAACGCGAGAGTGATAGAAGCTAGACTTTGGGCAATGTTTTTCGTTCCTTGAAGTTAGTGTTCAGTCTATCTAGTATCACACTCGTTTGCCGGCGAATAAATACATATAATATAAACATTTGTCAGGATATACTAAAATCGTAAAATCACACATATATTTGTTATTTCTACAAAAGCGATAAATAGAGCGAATCAAGATTACGTAATTGAACAGGATGGCAGAAAATATTGGATAATGTCAAATATTTTTGTTTTAGTTTAGATATTTGTTCGTAAAAGTTAGATACAGAGCAATCAATTGTTAAACAATGTAGTTGCATTATTTTATAAAAATCGCGCTACGTAAACCTGTAGAAATGGCCTTGGGAATACAAATTTCATCCATCCTATGATATATTCATCGATACATTGATGTAATATTTGTTACAAGGACAGTGCACAGTATACATCTATTTTGTAAAACATTACAATGACTTTTGATCTTTTTATATGACAGAAGATTATTAGAAACCTTTCGTTTACTGGCATCTTTGTTAATTAAATTTAAATCAAATTTTTAATATTGGACGGACGTTTTTAGGATTTCGAGAGCAACAGTACACTACGTCGATACTTTGGTTATAAGTACTAATCAACAACATTCAAGTTAGTAAAATTTCGCGTAAAATCTGTGTAACTTGATGAGCGTCAGCACCCTACGTATTGACATAATGAGTGTTCATTTACCGATGAATACCGATCTCATATTCCTTTGTTCCGCGACAGGCACTGAGCAACACTCTCAAGTTTCAAAATCAACTAGACACAATCATTTTTATCAAACCGGTCCGCCGCGAAATAAGTTACTAGTGATATTTGCACTCATTTATTGTCATGGCTTGATTGCTGTATTCAAAGATTAAAATCAATCCAAAAAATTCAAAGATTAGTTGGCGTCAATATACGACACGCCTACTTTTGGTACAATAATGACTACTAACTTAATTGTGAACGATCAAAATGATATATTTAGGTTGACGGCTATTTAAATTTTTTTAGAGATCAAAAACAGATTCATAAACAATTTTAGTGACAATTACAGCAGAATTGGCACACAAACATATAAAGCCTGTTAAGCGTCAGTCAGAGAATGGATAAAAGCTAAATGATAAGGTCTGTGTAAAATGTATCAATAATGTGTGTAAGTCTGTGGCTTTAAATATGCCCACTAAGTTAGTTACTTATTATTATATTACCCTATAACAGTAACACCACTAATAAATATTCATTTGTATGGTTTTTTTTTTATAGCAGAATAAGTTATATGGTTCAAAACATACTAAATATCAAATTAATGTGTATATTGTATTTTTGTAAAACATTAACCACTCAATGGTCTAATATTTTGCATTAAAACAAACTCACTGTATAGAAACTTTGGTAATCAAGAACTAACTGATTTAAAAAGGAGGGTTTTGTTTGTCGAATTCTTTTAATATATTCTATATAATATATATTCTTTCTATTCTTAAAAAAAGCTTTGAAATGGCACAAAAAATATACATGGTTACTGGTTAAGTCGACCTAGATATTAAGGGGGTAATAGTTGCCATCATTGCTGATAGATTTCACTATGAAATACCATATCTCAAACCTAAGCATTTACAAGATATTGGACTTCTAAGTTTTTTATGAAAATGTCAAAATTTTTGGCTAATACATTTTTTTTAGAACTTACATGCTTTTTTCCACTGTTTTTGTTTTTAAAACTTTAAAAAAAAAACCATTACCAAAATTTTAGTTAACTTAAACTGAACTGAACGAAGCAGATGGCCGATAACAGCAAATGAAGTAAATTTGTCAATTTTTGTTTTCTTTGAGTAATATTAAAAAAACTATGACAGTTAAGTGACAGATATGTTAAATAACATGTACGTTTTATCAGGTATCTATCAAGGTACAACAGTCTAGGATAGTATCAGGATTCATGGAAAAGAACTTTGATGAACTATTCATGACTAACTATTGCTAACTGTGATTTGTGCTATGGGTATGGTTGAAGATGACGACCTATACAAATGAGGAATATGCTGATATTCTGATTTATTCTGGAATACGTTACGAATACGTACGTCAAGTTATACATTAATTCTAACATAAGAAAAAAATTAAAAATCCGGAAAAGTGTGAGCCGGACTCGCCATCCGAGGGTTCCGTACAAATTTGTAGGAACATATATTATAAATAGTTCAGGAATCGAGTCTCCCGGTTTTTTGGAGATTTTACCGAATTTCAGTTTCTAAAACCTATAATTACTTAGCTTGGGTTTAATAAGTGAAATTGTACCTCGATGATTAATTACGTACTTTAAATAAAGACTATTTTTTTATTTTTTTATTACAAATGTATAGTTTTCACATTTTTCCCTGTACTTGTAGTATAATACGATGTTACTTGCCAAATTTCGTAGTTCTAGGTCAACGGGAAGTACTCTATGAATTTTGATTCGCTTGAGTGTCGAAATATGTGTTTTTTTGGCATAAACCGTATCTTTTTTTACGTTAGCTTAAGTTTGATTTTTTCACAGCTTCAAGGGACTGTAGACCCGAGTATATGGTTTTAATTTAAAGTCGATACCTCCATGGATTTCAGAGATAAAGGGACTCTACAAACTGACAGACAGACAACAAAGTGAACCTGTAGGGGTTCCGTTTTTTCCTTTATGGTTACGGAACCCTAAAAAGAGGATATAAGTTCTAAAAAAGAAAATCATTTGAAAAGGGTTAGGTTTGGGATATGGTATTTCATAGTGAAATCTACCAGCAATAATGGCCTCTACAAGCCCCTAAAGTATCTAGGTCGACTTAATCCTGTATACTTTTTTATAAGAAAGATGACACCCAAAAATTCAAATCAAGGTGTGGAAACTAGCTAGTTTCATGATAACAACTAACATCAATACATTTGGCTCCTATTTTAAGTGGTCAGTGTCTGAAATAGACCTTCACTTTATTTATTTAATCATTTGCTAAAATTTATAAAGCGGTAAATGCCGCGTAATTTAGAATGAATGATTGGTTGTAGGAATAAAATACCCAATCTATATTATCTAACAAGGAAAGATAAATAAGATGCCTATAATTTTTAGACAACTTGCACGATATTTTTAGTATTTTTTCTGATATTCGTAAAAAAGAATATTGAAGAAACCATGTTTTTTTATTTTGCTCTAGATATGATTTTTGAGTGTGTTTTATGTGTTGTCTCTTACCTGTTCTGGTAACTGAAGTATTTGGCGTCTCTTGGTATCGTGCACAACTGCTTGCCATAACAGCACAGTACTTGAGGATTGAAGGTATACTTCCTACCACAGCAGTACCCGAGACTTTGCATCACTGGGTCTATTTCTGTCTCAAACACTTCAGAGAGCTAGAAAAAGATACATTATAATCAGCAAAAATGAAGATAAAGGGTACTAGTTAGTCGAAAATTACACACATGTTTTGTAGGATGAGCACTGTCTTATGGACTGAGGAGTGGACTGATACCCTATAAAAGTGCTTATGATAAAATGGCAAATCTATATAAAGAACTTTACCTGAATTGTTATTGTTTATTGATTCTAGTCAAATATGACGTACATTAAACATTAGATACTTCTACAAACGTGTATAAAAGGACCAACCTTGGTACTGTATCTGTACACCCTGGAATTCTTGCGATTGTACAGCCACGCATTGTCGAACATCAGCCAAACATCGTCCACGTACTCCCAGGGGTCGCGGTAGTTCCCTCGGTCCAGCTTCATCTTGATAGTGGACAAGTCGATGGGCTTGGTGACGATGTCGAAGTAGTCGGGAATGCCGAGAGCCTGCGCGTCCACGGGCTGGCGGAAGGGCACGGACTCCGGGTCCTGCCGGTACAGCTTCTCCAGCGTGGGCATGAGCGCCACGCGCAGCTCGTCGGGCTTGAACACCAGCTGGCGCCGCGCGCCGCGCTCGTCGCCACCCGCGCTCTCCGCCGGCTCCTCCTTCACTTCCGTTTTTATCTCTTGCTTTATTTCTGTTTTTACACTGAAGTCCGTGTGGTCGGCGGCGTCTTTCTCCGAGGGTGTCTCGTCTCGCATGCCCTTTCCGCCGCAGTCTTCTTCCGGTTCCTCCTTGATGCGAACCTCTTCCGCCTCTTGTTTTATTCTCACTTCATCAGGAGCCGGGCTGTGAACGGTAAAGATAGTTATGAACGACTGTCGCGATCGAATTTAGATGTGAATTGCAATGGCAAATTATCGATCTGGCGTAAATATCTAACATATAACAATGATTAGTAGTACTAATAGTATATATTGTAGTGTTCAGTACATAGGATTTACCTGAATCGGGAGCCAAAAACGAGGACGGAAAAATTCTATACTGTTGAAGTGGAATCCTTATTATATTTAAAATCAAATTACAAGACTAGGTTCAGGGTGATCGACTATATAAATCCTTTCAATAGGTAATAAGTTGCACAAACTCACAAATGCACCAACAGAAACAGGTACCTGGTATATTTAACAAACATCGGCTAGCAAGGAGCAAAGAAATAGGTACCTGTCGTCGGCGGAGAGCGGCGCGGGCGGCAGGTGGTGCGGCGCGGGCGGCGGGCGCGGCGCGGGCGAGGCGTGCGACACGTGCGCGTGCGGCAGCGCGTGCGGCGTGGCGGGCGTGGCGGGCGCGGCGCTGGGCGGCTGCCCGGGCGCGGGCGAGGCCGTGCCGAAGGCGGAGTGGTTCACGAAGGGGCTGGCGGCCGCGCCCAGCAGGCGCGCCTTCGCGTCGCCCTGGTGGCCGGGCGACGCCAGCGGCGCCGGCCCGTTGGACTGCAGTTGCGGGTACTGAGGCGCGGGGGACGTCATCGGCTGTCCGAACGGCGACATACCCGGGTTTCCGATGCTCCCTCCGTTCGGAGTCATGGGCATCTGATTCGGGCTGGGCCCGGGCGGCCCGACGATGTTCGTCGGAAACGTCATCCGGTTGGCGGGCATGGTGAGCGTTATGCCGGGGGACGGAATGCGCATGGCGGGAAGAGGAGGTTGCGAGCTCATAGCGGAAAGGGCAGGTCGCGGGAGCGGCCCTGGGGCTGCACCGCGGGGTCCGGCGCCGCCCAGAACACCACCCCCTGACATGACTCCCACGCCGGCTTGCTGCTGTTGCAACTGTACCACCTGCTGTTGCTGATGCTGTTGTTGCTGTTGCTGCTGTTGTTGCTGTTGTTGTTGCTGCTGCTGCTGTTGTTGTTGTTGCTGCATTTGTTGTTGCTCCTTTCTTTTTTGTCTCTTTTCCTCTAGCTCTTTCTGAATTTTATATATTTTTTCAGCGAGCAGATGATAGTATTCGGATCTAGTACTAGCCATCTCATACATATCTCCTTCAACCTTTCTGGCATAGGCAACTAAATTATGCATTCTTTTGTCTAACATAGCAGTCGGGTCTGGGGTTGGAAAAATTGCTTGCACCCTGAAAAAACAACTCTATATAGTTTCTTTGATACCTTGGCAAGTATGAATTAAAAAAATTACAACAAATATTAACATACAGTTTGTGAACTAGATGGTTTCTGAGATCAGCCGTAATGGAATGGTGCCACTCCTTAGTGCCAGATACAGGGTTGGCGGTTACGGCTCCGCCTGGAAGCTGAAGACTACTGGCGCTCATCTGTACAAAGTAATAATTTATATAAAATATACGTCTATATATATCTATGTAGTATATCATCGTAACATCTTGCAACTAACCACAATTTAAAATAATTTATCTCATCAGCTCTAATCACACACATTTCTGCATCACCAAAAGGTTGACTAGAAGAAAATGCCTATGACATTAAGCCCGCTTATATTTTGGACGTATAAAAATGAAAAGAAATAAAATATTTTATATAATTTGTTTGAAATTCCTATTAAAAATAATGACATTTTTGTTTTAATGTTAAATGGCGACACTCACCAATTGCTGTTGCTGTTGTTGCTGCTGCTGTTGCAGTTCGGGCGGACCCTGAGGCGCGAACAGCGGCATGTTGGGTGGTGCGTCAAGACCCGGCCGTACGGGCATGCGAGCCAGTGGCGCACGCGGGAACCCGCCGCTTACCATGCCCGACACGGATGTGGGGCATGCAATGCCCAACATTTCGTAGGCGCGCTTCATGTCCGCGCCCTGTGTGCTGGGCGCTGGGGGCGCGGGGGCAGGCGCAGACGGGTGGGCAGCGAGAGGGTTGACACTGCCTAGAGTACCCGCTCCTACGTTACCAACGTTGCCCACGCTACCTACTCCACCCACAGTGCTTACACCTCCTACATTGCCGGGAACCCCCGTTGTCGTATGTGTCACTCCCGCTACTGTAAACGTATTTACATGTAAGATAAATGTATAAGTAGCTAATCGTCCTCTAAGACATTAAATAAATATTTTTTAAGATCAACTTACCGTTCATATTTCTAGTCCTATCTGCTTGCTTTAGTGGCAAACAAACTGGACAGTCATTTTTATTACAGTGTTTCCAATGATTGATAATTTGTCTTGATGAGGAACAGTGCGGCACCGCACAATTTTTGCCAGCCTGAAAACAGGTCACAATGAAACACTGCACAAGTGACGAGATTAAGATAAATACTGTAAAATATGTATCAGTTGTTGGACAAGTTGTCTTTTTTAAAAAGAAAAGGAAGAATTTGTACAGTGGAATCACATCAAGAATTATTGTTAGTATCAAAAAAGAAAAACTGAATGCACTGTTATCCCTAACAATTTTTCTAAACCTTAACTTACCTGACATGACATCATATGATTGAGTACACCCTTCATTGTCTTGCAGTGTGGTAACGTGCACTGCCATGCCTCGCCATTGTTGGATTGGGACTCGCGCCGTTGGCATTTATGGGCGTGCAGTAGTAGCACAAGTTGTTGTTGTATAAGTTTTCGCTTCTCAGGGTCAGCAATGGAGCCTGAAGTAGGTGGTTGCGAAGAGGATGGTGGTTGCGAGCTGGGTGCCTGAGTGGCGGCCTGCGGTTGAGATTGGCCGCCAGCCGGAGCCCCAGGCGTCTGCGGGGACGGCGCCGGAGGCACAGCCTGTGCTGCCCCGCCACCGCCCGCATCCGCCGGCGGTCCGAAGCGAACACCCACTCCGCCTGCCGCACCCGCCGCCCTAGCCACGGGCTGCACACCTGGGCCCTGCGCTGATTGCGCGTATGGGGGGTGGTACGGCGCCATCGGGTGTCCGCCGCCTCCAGGTGTCGGCATGCGTGGATGGTGCTGCAGCGTCGTACGCATGTTTGGTGTTGCCATTCCTACTCCTACACGACCACCCAGCGGCCCATTTTGTATGGCCTGGAAATTAGTTTGACATGCTGAGGCAAATTTTCTACTCCTGAAGTCTAAATCCTTAAATGATAACCATAAAAGAGAATCAAGTTAATTTAAAAAAAAAAGTTAACTAGGACGAACCACCTTAGAAATTATTTAGATAGCATGAAAATAAAAATTAAAAAACAAACAAACCTAGTAATATTCTAAATAGAAATGCATAATACTACAAAGTAGCACTTTAACCTACTTATGGCAATGCTTGGTATATTAATATCATTTTCTTATTATACTTTGTAATTTATGTACTCAGAGCACATGAGAAAATTAAAAATTATGATTTTTAAATTCAATATCATATCAAAACAAATGTTAAATATTATAATTCGTTTTAAAAAGTTATATTCCTACATAGTGATAGACTAGATAGGACTTATGAATCCAAACCATTTCAAAATTGGACTCAAAATGTTGTATTTGATATGTCTAACAGAAGGGAAATGGAATTAGATTAGTTGCATTTGCAATTTACATTAGACGTCAAAATCCCGAATTTCAAGTTAGACTTATTAATCTAACATTGAATTTCGGCATTTGCAACTAATGAAAGAATTGATTATTATTAGGCTAGTCTTCACTTAAATTTTCAGTCACATTAACATTCACATTACAATAATAAACTTTTAATCATCATCATCATCATCATCAACAGCCTATACCAGTCCACTGCTGGACATAGGCCTCTCCTTAGAAAGGAGGTTTTGGCCTACTATACCACGCTGGCCAGACGGTTGGTATAGGGTTTGTTTCAAGTTTTCCTTCTCTTTGCAGTGCTGTTGTCCTGCTTAGTTTGCTCCCTTAGTCGGCTCTTACGACACCCACGGGATGAATTGGGGTGGTGACAATTTGTATTCTTAATCCGTCACCACACGGACTTTTAATACTATGATTTATTTAAAAAAATTGAGCAATTGTAGGAAAATCGAATTGAGAAATAGACATAATGAAATCAAAAATTATATTAGAAATAATGAATATAGAGCAATTACAAACATAATATTCACTGGTTTTTTTAAACATGTTTCATGTCGCCACGACATACACATATGTGTATGTCGTGGCGACGCGTAGCCACGGCTACAGGCGGTCTGACCCATTGTATTAGATGTTTCACATAACATATTTGACTAGTTTTTTTTTTTTTTAATTAAATTTCCTTTACAATTAAATAAATAATTAATATTTATTTAACTAAACGAAAATAAAGAGGTATAGGACAGCCAATATTCAGATATTTAAATAATATAATTATTAATTATTAAATTTAGATATTAGATCTATTTCCTAGCACTCCATGGATTCACCATGCTGGTGCCAGGTCCATGCAACACATGCAACTTCAACAGCGCCTGGGAATTGCGACCCAGGGATCGATTGAGGAATAATTTAAATACATATTAATAATATACAATTTATGTACATACCTGTGCATGTGGATGGTGTTGTGGTGTGGCATGATGGTTAGCACCCATCAAAGTAGGTAACTGTTTATTTACACTGTTGATAAGTCCACTGCTTAGCATTCCAGCTGTTGTCATATTGCTGTTCGTCACTGTCATATTTCCGCCGACATTTGCGACGTTCATCCCACCTGGCATGGAACTCATCGGCATATTGGAGTGGAGCTGGTTTGGATGACTCGTATTTGGCATTAATTGGGGGTGTAAACCACCCATTAGGTCCTTTGATACAGATACATTAGGAGGTGATTGTAAGTTTGGACTCTTACTACCTAAATTATTCAATCCTAAAGGATTGTTGTGGCCCACTAAACCACTCTTGTTGCCCTGTGAAAAGACCAATACACGGCATACATCATTAATACGGCCTTTTTATACTAAAATAATAGTTTTACTATTTCATTCTTGTTTGGATTAGTTATGAATATGATAACAGCATTTTGATAAATTCATGAATTTAAAAGAAATAAAGTCTGCCTGTGTGGCACTTCCAGATAATCTTGGGAACAAGTATGTAGGGGTTTTTACTGGCAAATAGATAATGTTAAAAGCTTACTCTAAGAATGTTTGATCATTACCTATGCTACTTTTATTAAAAAAAAATAATGATCAATAACAACAGTTGCAAAAAAAGCCTTAAATATATATTTACAAAGGCTTTTTTCATTATTTACTAGCTGTGCCGGTGGCCATAGGCACAGCTAATAAATAATGAAAAAATAATCAATTCCTAGCAAACATAATTATAATAATGATTGCCATCAGTCCCAGATACTTACTTGTTGAAGAAGGTGATTGTTCATTTGCCTGTGTATACCAGCAGCTGTAGGGTCATCCCCATTGAGCTGCTGCTGGGGCATTTGCCCTCCAGGCCCTGGCCCTTGTGCAGGGGGCTTTGTGACTCCGGGTTGTTCGCCCCAAGAGCCTCCCATCAACTCATCAGGGAGGTCCTTTTCAAGGTCGAACATGTCAAGGTTAGAGAACCCATCTACTGAAACAAAAAAAAGTTATTGATTGAGTGCACTAATTATAAGCAACAGAGATAAAAAACTGTGCCTGTAATGTAATGAGGATAAAATATCATATTAAAACTTGTAATAAGCTTAATTTTTTTATATTTGATAGCATTCAAATATACAATACAATTTTTTTACGTTTGATAATATACTAAATATTAATAAATTACTGTATTTACCTATTTTGTAACACAGCATGACATTATATCAGCAGTTATTTGATTTTTGTTTGTAGTCATAATTTGGTTATCATAAATATTGTGTCTATCATAAATTTATAAAAATTTAGAATTAAGACCTTAGGTTAAGCAAAAAAATTAATAATTACCTGTTTTGCAATCAGAATAAATATATTGTTAGGCAAGTTTTGAATAATACAAAAACCCCTGATCATGTTAAATATTCTGTCAAGATAAATAATGTCTTTAATATTGAACTGATGAATTTTGTTTGATGCATCATACAGTGCAAATTGGGTGAAAGAAATAAGGACATTAAAAGAAATATTTAAACATACAACAAAAATATATTTATAAATGAATAATTACATTTATCTAGCCATATGACAAAAACATAACTAATAACAACATAAAACAACAGCATTATAACTAAATTAACATTATACTGCAAACTTTAAGATCAATCAACAATATTATAACCAAGATTTTTGAAAAACCTAAAGTAATTTTATCATTTTCATCATCAACAAACCCTGACAGTCCACAGCTGGACATAAGCCTTGGCTTAGTAATACTTAATTATGACTTGTTAGGGAGCACATATTGCACTATCTAACTAGTCATGATTATTTTTATATTATATATCATTTATGTTAAAACTATGTTCATCAATGTATATAAATATAAATCTTCCTGGATCCAAAACAGTTTAATAATAACTTTTGTGAACATCATTGCTATGTTACAATTCAAGTTACAACATAATTTTAATACAAAACTATCATCGAAAACTCAAGTAAATAGTGCCCACATAATAATATTATAATAACTTAATTGGACCGTATATTTTAAGACATTGCATGTCAGTTGTGAAATTAAGTTTTTTAAATGTGGCCTTGCACTTCATTATGTCCATATGAGACTGAAGAGGTTATGTTCTTATCACTTGGCTCGAACTAACTAAAACATTGCAGTTATTAATACATGTTTTTGTGGTTTTTAAATATATTTATTTAGTTAAAATGCAATAAATGCATTATGTTAACAAAACTTAAGAAGTGGGGCAACTTAAGCATTGCTTGATTTGTAATATTTTTATTTAAAATAACCTAAAGATATCAAATAAACTTGACCTAATTTCAATTACTGTACATTTCTAATATGAATAAATGTTTATATTGAATTTATAGTGATTATGATAATAATTTAATAAAATTTTAAATAAAAAATAACAGTACAATAATTGAATCCTAAATATATTATTAACTCAGAAATAATTCATTGAGTAGTAATTTCTAAATAGTTTCTTGCCACAAATATCAACATCATATAACATTGCTTCAAACTTGTATAATTGATTTTAATAAATGAAATAACATAAATGCAACATAATATGACACCATAATATTACAAAACATAAGCGTAAGACTTTATTTCGCGTTTTTATGTGCTAAGATACAATAATACGACGCAAAACTTGCAAGGCGCTAACAAGAGCGAAGGCAAAATGTCAAAAATCAAAGAAAGATAATATGACAGAACACTGTTCAGACACTTTGCAAACTCCGTAATAAACAATAAAATACTCACCCGCGGAGTCCGAGGGACCCTGAAAAGGGTCCCGGATCATCTTTGGCCGCTTGTTAGGCGGCTCATCGGCCATGGCTCTGTTTACTAAACGTAAGCCGTCGTGAATATTTCGGCCCGCCGATTTAAAAAACACTTTTATGTCTTATATCTTCAAGAAATAACATTTTAGAGCGATTTGTCATTCATCATAATGTAATTCACCCACATCGCGATCGTTCGATGTCCTTCACACCATTGAAGGCACATATTATAATTTCTCACTTAAGTATTCGCCATTACAAAGCTCCGAATCGAAGAGCTACACAGACCCTCTCACCATCTTCCGTCGGAACTAGCACAATAAATGAAAACAATATCACCAGATTTTAGCTACGTTATGGTACTAATTTATGCTATCGAACAACACGATTTCACTTAACACTTTAAAATACACGGAATGATAAAGTTTATGATAAAATGATGTAAGAAAAAACAGAAAATTTACACGACAAATTCCGAAATTCTTCTCAGTCTCTCCAGCGCAAAATGGCGGCTGTTGATGAAAACTTTTTCTACGCTTGTCAGAAAATGTCGGCCTATATGGAGTATAGGAAAGCGTTCTGATTGGTCGGCGCACACCACGTGACTGCCGGAAATACCGATTTGACGCAGGATCGGTGCGATTATTCTGACGTCAGGGCGAAGAAAGCCGAACACTGTCGAAGAATGTCGAAGATTTTATTTTCATGTAAAAATAATTTTGTACTACAAAACATACATTAACTTGATAAATCTGGATTTTAATCAATAAGAATACAGTTCTTTAATATTTTTTAATAGAATAAAATAGTATTACCTCCTTCACTTGTACAAATTAAAATTAAATAGAGTTGTTTTTTAAATGTTCCCTCCAAATCGGGAGTGGCCATCATCGATACGACGTGTCTCTAGAGTGTCTATGGAGTAGACATGTCCATAAGCAATATAAAGTACTTTTTTTCGAAAGTTAAAGTTTGAGTATTTACAAATTAATATTGAGGCGTGTTTACGTTTCCTTTCCATTTATCTGACATAAGAGTACAGTAGAAAGCGGATGAACTAATCTTATCATCAATTTAGAACTATTGAATAGTGGAAAATGGATACTAATTAACTTTTTTCTTTCTTCTCTATTTACTTTTGTTTTAAACTACTTTTTAAAGAATTTATGTATATTCACCGAAGTAAATATTTAGTTTAAAAAAATGTAGATGTTCAATATACGTATACCTACCATATCGAGGATACGGGAATACTTGAAAAAGAAAGACAAAAAAGTATTAAGAATGTAAGAGATGTGAAAAGTTATTTTACTCTAAGCCAGCCTTTAACACATTGCAAAGTTAAGCAATCCTAAACAGGTCAGCCTATAGATAGGTGACCATTTCTTAACACATTAAGACCCCTTCGTGCCTCGGAGAGCACGTTAAGACACCGGTCTCCGTTGCCATACGAGCATTTGTTTCAATCATTACGGGTAGTTTGAGCCATAAAAAGGCCGACGACTCTTTCACAGAACTTTGATAGCCTTAAAGCCACCCAACCTAGTTTCGGAAAAGACTAGGCGGAAGAACTTTATTGGTATCTTAGTAGGGCTTTACATCTGATCTGAGGTGATCATATGATTTACCAATACGTACATTATGCCGATAGGTGGCTTTTTACATAAGATGTACAAGAACTGTCCAGAGGCTTACACAGGTACAAAAAAATTACAGAGGTCTCACTCACGATGACGCTAGATAATAATAAACTGCTCTTGAATTAACGCTTCATAAGATCGAAATGCATAACAAGTTTCCACCGGTAGCTCGAAGTAGTTTAATTATTATTGTATCATTAAGTAATTATGTAGACACCATTAAAATAAACATCATAACTGCCGACGTTTTAGTTACTGGAAAGTCCCGAAATGTCTATGTTAGCCTTAATCTGGCAAGAGATTCGTTTTGAGATTCCATTCTACGATTCAATTTATTCATTAAAATGGCTATCGATGCTTATAAATACTTACAACATAAGCACAAATCATCAGAAAGACAAACAGCACAAATTATGGGCAAAAAAAGAACAGCACAATTTGTTTATATTTTATTTACAGGGATACCATTAACTTAACAACAACTAGAATACCATTAACAATAACTAGATTACAAGTATAGGACAATTTTACAGAATAAAAATCGTTTTCAATACTTAAATTGATTAAAAGGTTACTCAAGAGATAGTACATTGAGGGCAGTTTTAATTTTAAGGCCATTTTTTTGGGTTAATTTTTATTTTGTACAGACCTAAACTACATAATGTAGGTAGCTTACAGTTATTCTACATTTCCGTGAGTGGCTTTACTCCTAAAATCTCTAATCCAGTCTTAACAACTAGACGAGCACAATGAAAAACGAGTAGTCTCTGAGCTGCTAAATCATTTTCAACATTTTTTACTTGTACTTCATTAAACATTCTATTAACATATCTAGCTAAACGGAATAAATAGCTAAGTAAAATACAAGCCTCATATTCTTCTAACGACTTATGTAACACAGATTCAAATTTAGCAAGTTCTGCAATAACATTTCCTATGACTTCTTCAGTCAAATGTTCAGGTTCACATATATCTGGTAATGCAATGCCACAATTCTGCTCTAAACTCCATAGCCTGCAATGTAAATACTGTAATTTGATTCCGCTATCACCTTCACTCTGAAGAGCTCTGTCCCAATCAAATACATAATCTTTTTGTCTTTTTTGTTTTAAATCATTAATTATAACAGCTGAAGTGCCTAGGATGTCGCAAGTCTCCTCATTCATTGCTGTCCTCCTTGTATCTGAAACGTAAATTAAATTAATACTGCTCTATTTCAATCAGAGAAATTTTATATTATCATGTTATGTGAACTTTATAAAAATACAATATGTTGCGGAAGTTTTAGCATATCCTGTAAAGCTCCTCCTAACAACTAGCATTTAGTATATTTGAAGTTGTCCGTGTTCAGAATACAGTGTCACCACCCCTATTCATCCCATGGGAGTAGTAAGAGCCAACTAAGGAAAAAATATACCCAGAACAACAACACTGCAGAGAGAAGGATAACTTGATACAAACCGTATACCATCCCGTCTGGCCAGTGTGCTATAGTAGGCCAAAACCTCGTTTTTAAGGAGAAGCTTATGTCCAGCAGTGGGCTATTAAAGGATGTTGATATTTGAAGGGGTTTAGAAGAACTACTGCTATTAATGTGGGACCCATTTTGTCAATACTTAGTAATAGAAAATAAAGAAATAACTTAGTAGCAAGACAATTACAGGTAAAATAATTTGTTTCTTATAATTTATAAATTGACCGGTCTGGTTAGGGGTTAGCAATCACTAACCCACAGGTTGTGGGTTTGATCCCCTGAACAAATAATTTTACTTTTCTTTTTTTAAATATTAAAATTAAGTAATTTATTGCTTTTCCTAATAGTGTTAACTATAGTTAAATAGGGCTTATTATAAAAAAAATATTACAGAATTAATTACTTTTTGACAATGTTTGTTTTTCATGCATTTTGTTTTTAGCTTCATCTAATATATCATTTAAGAATACAACATTGCCGGTTCTAGTACTCATTCCTCTGACTCTACCAAATTTAATATGTTCGCAGCCATCTACATATTTATTATCGATTTGCTTCACAATTTCAAACAAGTCGGCAAAATGTCCTGTCTGTGCATTCTCTACGACATACAACATTTTATCAAATTCATACTTCTTATATTTGTCTAATAAACTTGCTATGTCTCTTGATATGTAAATAGTTGAATTATCACTTTTTAATACTGTCACATCTCTACCATTTAACTTAGCTGTCTTTTTTCCTGACTCATCACTTCTAATTATATTTTCTCTCTCTAAATATTCCATTAGAGGTTTTATTGCTTCACCATTATAATCTGACTCCCAGAGGTAAACATCAAACTGAATTCCGAGTCTTTTGTAAACCTTTTCTAACTCTTCAATAGTAACTTCTCTTATTTTCTTCCAATTTTCCAAGTTCATTCTACCATGTTCAATATCGGAAAAATATTTCCTTGCTTCTTGTATCACATTGTCATTAGTTGCTGCCAATTTATTGGCATGAACATAAACATCATACAAGGTTTTTAGTGGATTACTTTTGAGTTCTTTTAAATCTATGTCTAAAGCTTTCAACCCATATTGTAAGAGGCCAAATTGTGTGCCCCAGTCTCCTAAGTAATTGATTTTGGTAACAACATTATCAAAGTAAGTATGTACATTAGCAATAAAGTTTCCTATCACCGTAGACCTCAAATGTCCTGCATGAAAGGGTTTTGCAATGTTTGGGGAACTAAAGTCTATAGCTATTTTCTTTGGTTTGACTAGAGGTTCCATTTCGGGAGCAACACAACTTTTTATAACGTTTTGTATGAAGGCTTTCCTTTCATAGCAAAATGACAAAACTGCTCCATTTTTTTCATTTTGTCCAGTATCATAATTTTGAAGACCTGGTTTATTTCTAGTGCTCATAATAAATTTAGTTTCATCGTGCTTATATGAAATTCGTAGGTTCCTCAAGGCTGTATTTCTGTCAACAAAATGAGGAAGAATCTGAAATATAAATTTATGAAATGTTACTTGTAATCATGAAACTTAATTCTTAGAGGTTAAAGTCAGTTTTTGTCAGACCTCGTTGACCAACTTTATTTTAGGTTTAATAATTTTGAACTGGGTCATGATTTTACATCCAGCAGTTTCTAGTCCCTCATCATAATAGAAGAAAATTGAATTAACTTATTTTAGAAAGTTTGACGTATTGTACTATCTCAAACGATATTGCCACATCTATAAATTTTTTGGTTGATCAGATCAACCAAAAAATTGTGTAATACACAATTTAATATTTATGTAGATCAACTTGAAAAAGAAAATAAGACGCATGTCTTTTGCGTAAGCCTTCAATAAAATTTATAGAATTATTATCTAGTTACATATTCAGTAAACTATTCAATAACCCTGACGGCTGACTGAAATTTCGATATTGAAAACGGGTTGCGTGCCCAAACATTTGGTGCTACTCGTACAGGAAAACTTTTTTTTTTTTACGTGTGGAAATCCCCTCGGACCGTCACCCCGCCGTGGCTCTCTGTTCGGCGGGGCGGTGTGTCGGACTCGAACCGACTAAAACCACACGGTGTGCCCTCTTTGCGCTTTTGTTTTAGGGGGGGTCCAGGTAGTTATCGCCTTCTGGACCCCTCCCAGCGCCGACCCGCTCCTGGTGCGGGCTCCATCTCAAAATTTTTTACCTCTCTTTAGGCGGCGTCCGGCACACGCGGACCGGCGTCCCCCTCGCGGCTGGCCAAACTAATGCGGGTGGAGGGGAAAACCCATCCTGTCCACCCGCGGTCACACTCAGGGCGGCATGAGGCGCAGGTAAGCGCCCCTCCGCCGCCCGGTTCGCCGGCGGCGGATCGGGTCCGAGTGGAGGTCGTCCTCCCGGGCCTTCTCCGCCGCCTCCTTCTGCGAGATTACTTCCTCGCAGAAGGTTGCTACCGCGGTAAAACGACTGTCGCTACCGGCCATGGAGCGTACTACGGCCGGTAGCGAGAGATCCACTCCGATGACTGCAGTGGTGGCAGGCGGGACTCAATTCCCTCCTGGCGACCGAGCGCAGGTACTTTCCGAAGCAACCGTGCCCGGAAAGCAACAGCGTCAGCCGGAAGGAAAGGGTCCCATGCTGCCGCCCTGCCCACTCGGCGATAACCGGCTGGAGAGCCTCCACGGCGGCGAAGCCAGGGCGTGGAGTCTCCAGCCGGAACGACCATCTGACCATGGTGGCTCGGCGAGCGGCTTCGCGCCACTCGCGCACGTCGGAAGTCAGCCACTCGCCGATAGACTTCGGCGAGCACTTCCGCCTCCAAATCCAACGGGGGTGTTCCGGCCAAGGCGCAAGCCGCCTCGGTGGACACCGTGCGGTTTCCGCGTATGGCTCTGACCGCCAATATCTTCTGGGGACACCAGAGGCGCGCCCTAATCTGGGCGGTCAGAGCCGCCACCCACACCGGTGCACCATACAGCGCCATGGACCGGACAACCCCCGCGTACAGCCGCCTCGTGGGAAAACTGGCCCCGCCCAAATTGGGCAAAAGTCGCTAGGGCGGTGGCAGTGTCCACCAGCTTTGTTCAATGTTCCACAGGAGCGGTCCTAGGACAGACCCCTGCGGAATACCGCACGACATGGCCCTGCGTCTCAAGACGCCATCTCGGTCCTCGTACATGACGGTTCGCTCCTCAAGATAGTCTGCCACCAGCCGCCTCAGGTACTCTGGCACTCCGTGGTAGCGGAGCGCTTCCCTGATGCAGCTGAATGGCAGACTATTGAAGGCGTTGGCGATGTCCAAGGACACCGCCACCACCACTCCGCCGCAGCTCACGGCCTCCTCGGTCACGGCCCTAAGGCGCATTACGGCATCGATCGTCGAACGCCCCTCCCGGAAACCGAATTGGGCGTCCGACAGATCGGGGCCAACCTCGCAGAGGTGCCGGACGATGCGGGCAGAGAGCACCCTCTCAAAAAGTTTACCCGCCTCGTCTAGCAACACGATAGGCCTATAGGCCACGACCGAATCGGCAGGCCGTCCCGGCTTCTGTAGCAGGACCAGCTTCCCGCACTTCCAGCGCTCAGGGAAGCGTCCGGACGCCAGGCTAGCGTCCAACACCTTCCTGAGGTGGTCCGACACGTAGTCGAGGGCTCGGGCCATCACTCGGGCTGGAACCCCGTCCGGCCCGGGGGCGGTGTTCTTGGATCGAATCCGTAGAACAGCCGCCCCCAACTCCGATTCCCTTACGGGCGGAACATCAGCCTCGCTGCCCCCGTCGTCTCCGGCTGATGCAGCCATCGACGGGGGTGTGTGCTCCGCCCGCTGCGGGAATAGGCCCTCGACACCACTTCCTGCAGGAAGCTGGGCTGGAGAGTCTCTGTAAGGGGGGGGGGGGGGGGGGGTGACGTGCGGAGCTTTTGACGCACCGCACGATAAGGGCGACCCCAGGGGTCACGGTCGAGACTCTCCAGCATCTCCTCTCTACTAACATCCTTGGCGCGGCAGATGGACAGCCTCAGAGTTTTCCGAGCTTTTCGGTACTCCTCATGAAGCCGGTCCACCTCCTCACCAACCCCGCGGTGACGTCGCCGACAACGGGTGAGGGACCTCCGGGCACGTACACAGGCCGCACGGAGGTCCGCCAACTCCTGGGACCACCAGTAGACCTCCTTCCTTGGAGGCCGACAACCACGAACGCGGGGCATGGCCGCATCGCAAAATCTGCGTCATCGCATCGCAGAAGCGACCAGCCCCCATGTCGACCTCCTCGGTCGGGGCCTGCGGAGACAGCCAAGAGTGAATAATGGCCGCCTCCTCTAGTAGGTAACTGTCGAGCTTGGCGACAGCCCACCGCGGGAAGCGGGAAGGGCACCGCGCCGCGTGAGCCCTACTGTGGTCCTGGGACCGGGAGAGCTTGAATCGGATGTACAGATGATCCGAGAGCGTCTCAACCTCTTCCAGGACACACCAGTTTCTTACTCGTGCGGCGACTGCAGGGGTAGCGAACGAAAGATCCACTATCGACCCCCCCTGCTGTCGCACGCACGTGTTGGTGGAGCCCCTGTTCAGCAAACAGAGGCCCACCGACGATCATATGATCTGGTGAGTCTAAATCTTTTGGAATGACTACGATTGTTAAAAAACATGGTGTTGTAAAGATGATTGTGAAATATATACGCTATTTGATTTGACCAACATTATTTAATATTCATGACAAAATAAAAATAAATGCAACAAGATAATTTAATTTAAAATTCGAATAATTTTAAATCCAATATCTACCAATTTCTAATCTGAGGCTTCGCAGAACCGGCTGTCTCTACTTACTGTTGACCGGCTGGTTTAGTCGTGATGAATTTCTATGAAAGTAGTAATAAAGTATAATTATGGATTAGGCTTAGATATATTACTTGGCGATGGAACCAAAGATGCTTTTTAACCAACTTCGAGAAACAAAGGGTATATTTAAAATTTATTGACCTATATTTTATTTAGGTATTTATTTGGTGTTTAAAACATCGTGTTCCTTTTTTTATTCTACAATTATGACATGACTATGAGAGCAAGCTATTCCTCAGGGTTCAAAACTTTGGTGTCGCCGTCGTGTGCTACGCGGACGACACACTCGTGACGGCGCGCGGCAAGACGCACCACGAGGCAACCCTGAGGGCCACGGCCGGGGTTGCCCAAGTCGTTGAGCGAATCCGGCAGCTGGGTCTCGAGGTGGCTCTGCACAAGTCCGAGGCCCTGTTCTTCCACGGGCTTCGGAGGAAGCCGCCTGAGGGATCTAGCCTCACGGTAGGAGGCACTCGCATCGGCATCGAGCCCTCGATCAGGTATCTGGGGCTCGTACTCGATGGCCGATGGGACTTCGGATATCATTTCCGAGGTCTGGTCCCCAAGTTAGTTGGGGCAGCGCGTGTGTTGGCGCGGCTGCTGCCCAACATGAAGGGACCCGATGACTCCTGAGGAGACCTACTGGGGTTTTTGTGCGGCCCATCCTTTACGGGTGCCCAGTAGGGGGGGGGCCCCTGAAGGCCAGCAACGTCGCGAACTGCGACACCACAGCGAGTGCTGGCCATCGGGATCATAGGGGGGACCGCACATCCCGGGCCGGGAAATTTCCACCGTGGGACCTGGAGGCGAAGCCCTTGCGGCTCGTAAAAGTGGCGCAAGGGGCGGGGGAGGTGGGTCGGTGCCCCGAGACCGAGAAATCGATGCCCGGGGAATCCAAACTCCGGGGGTCACATAGGGGGGGGAAAGGGCACGACTCGGGAAACCGGCGCCGTTCACCCCGCATCGCGGCGGTAAGACTTGAAATGGGGGATTGGCTACGACTGACGCAGGTGATCCTGGAAAAAAAAGGGTTAAAAATTTTGGGCAAAATCAAAATTTTAAATAGTTGGTGCAGATGATTTTAATGCGAACCTTTTTAAAATTTGTTTAAAACTTAGTGTAAAAATGGCCTTTTCAGTTGAACAAGATTTTAAGACGTGGTACGTATTTTAATCTTTTTGTTAAAAAACCCCTTACCTGATCTTTGCTCTAAAGTAATTTTCTAAGAGCCAGTTTTAATGTATACTACTTTTGAAATGAAAAATATTAACGAGGAAAACAAGTTAAAAATGAGAGCACTGTTAGTTGACCAAACCGATTTTTATTTTATTTTAAATATTAATTTAAAAATTTTTTTTTGGAAATCAATACTTAAAATCCACCACGTAAAATTAATTAGGGAAATATTTATCTCTTGATTTCAGCAAGGCCAAAAAAACCCGTTCGAACTTTTCTTAAACAAAAAAAAAACCCGTTGCTTAGCAACGAAGTGTCAAAATTTAAAGAAACAAAGTAATTTTTTTTAATGACGACCAACCCGACTTGACCGGAATGTGAATGCTGAAAATTGTGAGAACTGGTTTAAAGTTGCCAAAGTATACTAAATATTATTAGAGAGGTAATAAGACTCCCAAAGGTAAGAAAACTTCAATCATTAGCTATAAAAAATTTAAAAAAATTAAATAAACAAAAATTTTAATTTGTTTGTTTTGTCCACACCTTCTAAAATTATACTTCTTTTTACATAGGTTTCTCCATTGCGGACTGCAACCAAGTATTTAATTTTAAAGTACCTTGATT